AGAGAAAACAAACCTTTTGCCTTTGATTTGATCCGACACTTCGGTCCTCACAGTTATAATTTAAGCAAACTGCTGTATATTTTATCCATAATTACTCAAGTGCTAGACTGTTTAAAATCTCTATTAATTTACACAGTGAATTATCTTAGTCCAGATGAATAAGATAAAATTAAAATGACATACCTCATAATAACTGCTAAGATATCTGCTATTTTTCAATATCACGCTCAGGACCTGAGTGAAGTTGGCCCCCCCACCTTCTTCAAATCAGACAAAATTAGTGTCAAACGTTTGTGCAGCAAAAATTTTCATTTGTGCTGTTTTGGATTTGAAGATGTTAATGAAAATGTAAAGGTCAAAAGGTCAACCAGCCCCCCCACCTTATTCAAATCAGACAAAATAGGTGTCAATTAACTCAGCTCCGTTTGTGCAGCAAAAATTTTCCTTTGTGCTGTTTTGGATTTGAAGATTTGAAGAAAGAGGGGGGGGCTGGTTGACCTTTGATGACCTCTAGAAACATATCTTTAAAATTAAGGCGGCACAAACGAACGTTTTTTGCTGCACAAACGTTTGACACCAATTTTGTCTGATTTGAAGAAGGTGGGGGGGCCAACTTCACTCAGATTTGCTCAGGTCCAGCTCCGCTGCTCTCAGCACAGCGAACAGGTGGGCTGGTACTAAACTATGGACTGGATCTGAACCTGTCATGTCATGATGTGTTAGCGCTAAGGCTGCGTTGAAAACGCACACTGGTTTTTTATCACCGTGGTAATTTTTATATATAAATAAGTGGAATGGAGTGAAGTTTTAATGTCCGTCATTTTTTAGCTGCAAAATGGGGAGTCTGGAGTGAGAGTGTGTGAAAACACTGAGGTGAGTGAGTCTCACTCCCAATGAGTGAGAGTTGACAGCCCTGAATTATTTTTAGTATTGCAAACATAAAAAAGTAAAGCTTTTCTTTTAAATCGTGGAGTAAGCACACACATATGAATGCCTTTTGCAGAATTCAAATGGGATTTTAATCAAGATAAATTCCAAGTTTACAGTGAGAAGGATCGAGATCAGCGGTCACCAACCTTTTTACAGCTGAGGGCTAATTCAGGGGCACAGGAAGGGCTACCAATACTGACCTATGAATTGCAAGGGTCAACGTTCACCTAAACTTCATACATCATAAACATATCATTATCGTTTCTTTAAATTTATAATTTTCTTTTAGACATTTCATTTTGAAATCTCTATAAATGCTTAAATGCCATATTTGATTAAATGACTCAGATTCATGGCCGTTCTTTAAAAAGGATATTGATATTTACCATTAAAAGCAGAGACCAGCAGGTGAAGGGCCTCTTTCATCTCTCTGGACATTTTGGACTTATGAAGAAGGTCCATGAATGAGGCAACGGCTTTAGACTGCGGAGGCTGATATTCATCATCAGCGCACTCATCCAGCTGAAAGGAGATGGAGGATTTAAAAAATGTGGATTTCCAATCCATACATTTTGGCTAAGACGTTATTTCCTACTGTGTCCTCCAGCAGAGTCAGAGCTTCCTTGTCCTCCAGAATCTCAGTGAGTGATTTCATCAGGCTCCTGCGAGTCGCCTCTTGGACATCAGCAAGAGGCTTCAGGTTCTTTTCTTTTCCTTTAATCTCTGCAGGAAAAACATTACCTTTATTATCAGTTAATCCAGGTGATGCAGGATTAATGATTGCTCCTAACTACAGATTCAGGGTAGCGGGGCTTATTGCTTTGAACTTCAGGCTCCTCTGGGTTAAAAATGGCAAAAATATTAGATTTTTCTGGTTTTATTTTCCATTCTCTTTTTTATTGTAGTTTTGTCCAACTCAGTGTAATCTAGTTAAATAAAAGAAATGAAATTAATTATGCACCATAATCAGACCACCCTGGTACCGGGCCAAGAAAGCCCCACCCCTTTTTCCTACAATGGAAATCAGCACTTTGATTTTACCAAGTTCATAATTATGAGATAAAAAACACTTTTGGTACACTAAATTGTGTCAAAATGACAGCTCCACCTGGCCTAATGAAACCAGGCCTAGTGAGCTATAGTTATAGTAATGAGGTTGATCAATGAAATCTGATGTTTTCTGAAGGGTTTTTAGGATGTTTTTTAATGTTCGTCAAGATAAACTTTTAGGTCCAGTTAAAAAGAATCAAGGTGTTTTTTTGTTTAATCACAGATAAATCTGACATAGAAACAGTTTTGCTCAGGGATGTGCACAGATAAACACTAGGTGGAGCTAGAGCACCTACCCTATTCCCCTCTGCCTAAAAAAGTGCCCTCCTGAAATAGTTTTTTTCTTTTTTCAGTTTTTGGCCCCAAATACCATTTATGAATTTAAAAGCCAATCAAAACAAGAGTCTAGATTTTTGTCCTTTGCTCATGTAGCACCACTTCAATAAAGCCTTGCCGTGGTGAAGGGCCAGCTAACCGTCCAGGAAATCAATAAAGCGAATTTACCTCTTTCACTAATGGGTTAGTTTTTAGCATACCATCTTTAATGGTCTCTATCAGGCGCCAAGGAATGGTTTAAAATGCAATTGCATAGATGTTATTATTGATTTCCTATATTGGTCCCTTTCACGCACTCTCTAATGATATCTATTTGACTCGTGTCTTTTTATGACAACTAAATCTCACAAGTTACCTTTTGTCTGTTGAACATATGATTTAAAACCAAACACAATCCCAAATAATCACAATTCATATTAAAAACTTAAATAAAGTTCTATTCCGATAAAACATAGATGAACATTTGTTGATTCTGTGTTTGTTGACAGAGATCTTGGACTGCAAAAAAGGACCTGAAAATATCTAATCTGATCAGGAAGAGTAGATAATTTATCAGTGGAATTGGATTTTTTTAACCTTAAAATAAGATTATTACATAATATGCACTTGAAGTGAGATTATAGAATTGTTCTATTTCATATTTTAAATGTAAATCTTAGTTAATCCATCAATTCTCATATATATCCACTCAATTCAAGTGATTATAAACTTACCTAAATAGTTTCTGAATTCCTGGGCTTTGCCTTATTTATATATAAGTGGATTTGAAATTGTTCTTTACTTAATTGATGGCATTGGGGCAATGTGGCATTTCTACCTATGGACCCCAGAAGATCATTAAAAATCAGCCTCAGACGGTGTTTTGCTGTCGGTGGCTCAATGCGACTTATAAGGTGCCCTTATCCAACCTGAGCATGTGCCCCAAAGACTGAATGATTTGGTTTAATTGTCTCTGTAAAGTGGCTTCAGATGATGTGTTGTCAATTGGTGCTATATAAAAAAATGAATTGTAACTTAACACAAGTAACTTACCAACAATGGGATGAATGTAAATCACATGTACAGGTAAAGCAGGCCTGAGAGCCTCCCCAGGCATGAGAGCCTCCCCAGCCATGTGAACGTTTGCGGAATGGAGAGCTGTCAAGGGATTAATAAATAAAGACAGATTGCATTAAAAACTGTCATTTCTACTGAAGATCAATTGAAAGTGAAATAAATAATATAAAAACTACAGATTCAATACATTGTGATGTAACTGCACTGAACAAAACAGAGCCTAAATCCCACAAACAAAAGCATTGTAACATTTATTTACTGCTGATAGAGCAGGGGTCCGTTTCAAGAAGCAGGTTTACTGAAAATTCTAAGTTTTCTGAAGTTAAACATGGAAACTATGAGTTTTCTTTTTCACAAACAGTTCATTCAACTTTGTTTCTGTTGCCATAGTAACATCCTTCCTAGAGCTAACCTGGTCAGCAGCAGGTTTTGTTGAGTGTCCTCGGTTTCCACTCTCATTACAGCCAATCAAGTTGTTTTATTTCCTGATTAAGTGAGGATATTTCTGTGTAGTTTTGTGCATAAAACAATCCTTCACTAGGTCCATTAGATACATTAGATTTTAAAAACAAACATTGAATGTTCCTTTGATGAGGACCTTATTAAACAATGGTCGGCATTAATTCACAGAGAATTAAATATTTATCAGGAGATGTCAACTCAGTTGACAAAATATGAGATTTTTTTTGTTTTGTTTAATATGAGCAACTTTTACTGTACATCGAAGAATTAGTGAAATTATTTTCAGATAAATAGATTAATGGATTCACTTGGTGATTTCAACCTACTGAGCCTACTGGCACAATCTGAAGCTATTCTATGGGACTGATAGCCTCTAATAAAAACCATTTATTGGGATGATGACACCCAAAGCAGCTGCAAACAGCCACTTAGTATTTACTATGTAAAAGAAGACAGAATCAACATGAGGAAGAACCCATTACATGATGAACAGGTTCTATATATTAGAACATTTTTATTCTTCACCTGCTGCCAGATGATTTCACCTAAATAGATACATTGATCTACTACCTTTCAAGACATAAAGCCGTGATGTTATCGTGGACAGGCTATGGCAAGCCATTTTGATATGTATCAGTTTGACTGAATATGTATTCCTTATATCTAGAAATACATTTCAGATCTACATATTTCTATTGTTACTGGTCAGCATTTCTATTATTTTGACTATGAAGAAATGTATTTCAGATATGAATACACATTGAGTCAAGGTGATACATGTCAGAATGGCCACTTAAAATGTGTCAACATTTTTGGGTATATAAAACTTAATTCTTACTAGTATAAGTTTGTTTTTGTTTTTTTTTACTTTCTGAAATAACTTTTCTGTGACAAAAAATACAACAAGATGTAGGAGTGTGATTTTGATCAGATAGATTCTTAATTTAGTGATCTACAAATGGAACAACAGAGAAGAGAGCAGTTTTAATAAAAAAAAACAGCCTGCCATAGGGACTTCATCTAAACTGAAATGGACTCGAGCAGCCATCGGTTTCATCGCCATCTTCCTCACCTTTGCAGCTGTAGCTGTTTCATGTCTTTTAAACTCATTCTCCATTTTCACTTTCATTTCTTCATTAAAATCTCTTGTTCCAGTGGGGTGAAATAGGTGCTTCCTGTTGTCATGGTTACTCATCGAATTGGGGCTCCACTAATTAAACTTGTTACGTGTTAGCCTCTGAGTGAATCTACTTAGAGTTGATTGAACTAATTCATAGCAGCTAAGGAGAGATCAATTTAGAGTTGCTGATTTGAATCTAAGTTTGTTAAACCTGATTCTTGAAACGGAAACCTCATTTCTAACAATCCAGTCCTTGGACCGAAATATCAGACAAAAAGCATGATTCAAATTGAGATTGAAAAAACATTAACAATTTGAAGTATTAAATCTTAGTGAGAATATTGGAAGGATGAAAGTGCAGAGGAGAAGCAGGCAACTAGTGAACTGATGGTGCTGCAAACTGAAACCAGTTCTGGGGCTGAAGAAACACCAAAGACAAGAAGCTCACAATGATCCAACAAACCCCATCTCAGAAACCCCTGGATCAGAGGATGTAGGCAAAGAAAATAAGGTTAAAGTCAAGAAGTGATCCTCATTACAATTAGAAGGAAATAGATTCTTCTAAAATAAATCCAAATAAACAGAAGCCACCTCAAACATCTTGAATTTGACCATGACAGGCTATAAAAACAAGTAGAGGAGAAAACCAAGAAAGAAATTTAAATGGTTGTAACCTACTCTCAGACACAATCTTATTCTCCGGCTTGATGTCTAAACAGAAAAAGGACAAAAACGTTTTAACCAATGACGATTATGCAAGATGATCTTTAATTAAAGATGTAATATTGGGTTCTTACTGAGGGAGCCATTATCCAGGGTTACCTCTTGAAGACCAAAGGCAAAGACTGTGTTTTCCGGCACGGTAAAGCTCACGTCACTCTGATGAGAGAAAAAGCCAAAGAAACAGTTCTACTCACATCCTTTGTTAGAGAAAACAAATGTTGATCTCTCTGTGCTTATCTGTGAGGTGTTTAGTGTTTCAGACGAGAGATGTTTTCTCAATGTTACTCCTCTAACTCTGACATTGCATTGGAGCAGTGATCACAGCCTCTACTTCACTCTGCTCTATGCCATCAGTCAACATCAGGACTATTTTATGTAAGGGAAGCTGTTTCCCTGGCAGCTAAATGACTTGTTGGTTTCTTTTCTGACCTCAGGCTGGGTACCACAGACACAGAGACTAGTGTTCATTTTAGCAGCCATTTTTAAATTTAGTTTCAGTTTTAGTCCAGTTTCAGCATCGCTTGTTAGTTTTTATCACATTTAGTCGACATCGTCCCATTTTTATTTAGTCTAGTTATAAGACGAGCATTTTAGTCTTTATTTTAGTCCAAGAAAACATTATTTTAATCGTTTAGTTTTAGTCAACAAAAACTG